AAGGTTAATTAGACTTTCAACACACCAAAAACCTGAGCAACAGGTAATAAGGGAAAAGATAATCTCTTATAATCTCTCATGAAAGACAAGCAAACGAACCTAACTTGGAGGGTGTGGATGGCATAACTCGGCCGTTCCTACACTGGAGCCAGCATGGCTTAGCTCAAACTGTTTTTCAGATGTGAAGCAGACAAGATCCCAGCCTGGAAGGGATCACTCAGGAGCCAGCCGTGCTATCAGTGAGAGTTGGGTCCCATCCTGCCTTCGACAGGCTTCTTCCCACGCAGTGACTTACCGGTACCTTTAACATCTGACTTACTCTAAAAAACAGTATTTGGCAATAACACTAACACACCTGAGCTTTTACAGGCCACTCCCTCACTTGCAAGGCACTTTTCAATACATCTTGATTTCCAAACTGCAGCACGGAGCATCCAGCAGCCTGTGAGGGATGCGGGCAGTGCCCAGGAGTCAGCAAATCTGTACAAGCACTGAGAGTTCTGCCAACAGCGAGGAGCCCCAGAGCACACTGGGCTTCCAAGCAGCACATGAAATGAAGGAAAAAAAAAGGAGCACATGAACAGCAGTGTGCTTTGCAGGTTACAGGAGTCTTTGTGGGACCAGAGGGTTTCAGACCATTTCACACCCAGGGCTTTATCCAGAAAATGGTGAGCGGTAATGCTTCATCAACAAATTACTGCTCCGGAGGCTTTCAGTCCAGATTAAACTCATTTTGGGATTCAGAACCCAAATTCTCAGTTTATTTCCATCCTGAGGACACCATCCAAACCAGATCCCACCTTTGCCTGTCAGGAGACAGCCAGGCAGCCTGGATGCTTTGCTGCAGCAGCTCAGCTCACTGGCTTTGTCCACAGGGTTTCTTTTCCCAGTCCCACACCAGCGCTGTGCCTACATCCGTGCTCCTTCCCCACCTCCACGCACAGCACTGGCCTCGTCACGGGTTACAGCCAGCCTTGTATACACCCAGGTAATATATGCACCTAATTATACACATATTACCTCCTCCTCACTACTTCATTCTTTGACACATCAGATTTGTGAGGCTGCAACCACTCTGCTTCAGGAAAATAAGGTGAAAAGTCATAAAGTTAACATTTCAGTAGCAACACCAGCTCCTAAAAACTGAAACTCAGTGAAAAGATCTGAAATCTCAAGCAAGTCATTTGTTATAAACAATGCTGTGATAAAAAATACAAATACAAATACAGCAAACATGCTCTTGCAAGATCCTTGCTTTGAAATAAAACCCCAAAGCCTCCTGAAAAGGGACAAGCCAGTAATTAGGCTCTTAGATTAATTATGCTGGCACACTCGTCCAAGAGCAGGTGCCATTTGAATGCCCAGCATTTATAGAGGCTTTCCTACTTATAGCCAGCATTAATTGGACCGCTGGCAGAAGGCACGTTACCAAAGCAAGGTGCCGGGTGAGGAACAGCCACCCTGGCCGGCAAGGCGGCAGGAAGGAGCCTCTCCGCACATGAGCTCGGCTCTCGTTAGATTAATGCCAATTTCCTGGGCTGCAGGCCCCATGCTCAGGATTATCTGGTTATTATTTGGGTAACTGCTTTAACAGCACCAAATCAGGACATTTCAAGCCCTGTTGCTGGCTCTGCTATTACCCAATACCTATGTAGGCCACACCAGGAGCATCCCACCCTCCTCCTTGAAATGCCTCTGTCCCACTGATGACACCAGGAGGGCACAGTCCCTGCGCTGTCCCAGGGCTGGGGTACTCACTGCAGGTTTCATCGATGGCCAGGACATGGCTGGCAGCTGGGGAAGGAGGAAGAGGTGCTACAAACCCCATGTACAGATGTTTTGCAACGTGCATAACCTCCTTATGTGCTTGCACAGCTCACAGCTCTTCTCCATGACTCAGGGCTTCATCTTTCCACACAAAACCCCTCCCCAACCTCACAGCTCTGTGCACAACATAGATGTGACTGACAGCGGGACAGAAATCTGCTCTCTCTCTCTCTGTCTTTCACATAAAGCCAGCTCCAGCAGGGTGTTGTCTTCTTCTTTCCAGCATCCCCAGCCTGGGAAGAGAGCTCTGTGCAGTGCAGAGCTGCCCAGTGGTGGGACCTGACCATCTGCGTTAGCAATGCCTGGACCTCCTGGACAACACCTCCAACAACAAGGTGTTGTTCAGCACCTTGGCCTTCTCTATTGAAATCCCACCATGGGAAGACAAAAGCTGAATGGTTCCTATGGCAAGGGGTGAACAGAAAACACCAAAGAGATGGGAAATATCAAGAGATGGGAAACACCAAAGAGATCGAAACAGCAGAGATGGGAAACACTGAAGAGATCAAAACACCAAAGAGATCGAAACACCGAAGAGATTGAAACACCAAAGAGATGGGAAACACTGAAGAGATCAAAACACTGAAGAGATTGAAACACCAAAGAGATGCCGTTCTTGGTTCTCCTGCTAAAACTTCACCGCAGCCCCCCACGGCAGACCGCAGTCCTGCGTGCATCGCACCACCAGGTGTCAGGAAGACACCCCATGGCAAATCGAGCCGGGGGAAAGAGAACCGAACGCAGCTTGTTACCTCCGAGAGCAAATCCCAGCGGA